ATCTTCCCAGTTACTATTCACACGGTCAAACTTAAATCATTTTCTTTACCTATTTTCGCTACTTATTTGATAAAATAATATGTCTTGTCACCTCTCGTTTTGTAGAACTTTTAATGTAGTCTCTAAATATGTAAATTTTATTTTTTAATTTTATACCTACAATCAAATAAATTAAATTAAAAATAAAGTCGGTCAAACTTCGTAAACACAAACGGGAAGATGATTTTAGGACGAAGGGAGTATTAAATACATATTTTTGGTCGATGTAATAAAAAAATCAAATTAGTAACACAATTACTTTAGGATACACACAGAATTAAAGAGCTAAGTACGAGTAGTCTTTTAGTGACCAATTTGATTTAATTTCTTTTTTTTTTCACAGATTATTTCACAGGAAAAAAAGTGTTGTGTTTTTGCTTGGCCTTGGGAAAAGAAATAGCAGTTGGTGGATTGACCAAGACATCAGAGTATTACATTCTCCATTTCCTGAATATCACAAAATTCAGAAAATTGTTTTCTCCTCTTGGTGTATAACGTGATTTCTTTTAAATTAAGTGGTAATGTTGAACCGTGGTCCATGGAATTTTAATTTCTACTTTATCCTCCCTTCTTTTGAATTTAGTTGTTTAATTTTCTCGGTATCATTTTAACTCGTGTCACACATAGGATAAGTTACGGTGAAATGAAAGTTTTCTCAATTTTGTAAATCTTTTTCCTCTCTAATACTCAGGTTCAAACAAAATATATTTCTAAATAGTTTTAGAGTAATGCTAGGAGTATACCTAGGGGTGGGCACGGGCCGGTCCGAGCCCAAATTTATATAAACCGGACTCGGCTTGTTTTTATTAAAACGGTCCGGGCCGGAACGGGTTTTCAAAATTTTAAAATTGGAACCGGACCTAACCCGACTTGTTTGAAACGGGCCGATTCCACGGGTCAACGGGTCCAAACCTATCATAATACTAACATTCTTCAAAACAAATAGAAATTATAGAATAATGCCTTCAAAGTTCAAAAAAGAGGAATAAATGAAAAAAAAACAATGACAAAGAGGGGCATGAGAGTAAAGTGTACACCCCATGATCATCCAACAACAACAACAAAAAGAAGACAACCGCATTTTGGCATTATAATGTCAATAGGTTTCAAAAGAGCAAAATTGACAATCTTTATGGCTTCCAAAAAATCCAAAAAACCTGCAAAAAACAAAATTTTAAAATCAACCATATTCCACACACAAAAATATGCAAATGATTAAAGAAGTAAGTACCATGTAGTTTATATTTTGCACACTTGTCCATGTGTCAGTAGTCAAAGACACCCTATACTTGTGTAACTCCATCCTCAAAGTGTCTTTTATGACATCGTACATCTTGAAAAATTCTCTGACGATAGTTCTTTTAGATGGAACACAACCTAGGTTGCACTGTACTCATCATTCTCCTGAATCCCTCCTTCTCTACAATACTAAAAGGCATCTCATCAATCACAATAAATTCAACAATAGCCTTCACACTTTCTTCTTGACTCCACCCCTTAGCTAAAAGTAAGCTCTTACCATCACTTGGATCTGTAGCGGTAGACATTCCTAAGACTTTTTTTATTATAATCCTCGTTAGGCACATACTTCTTGCATACCTTAAGAATGTGTTTGCTATATGTACTAGTGCCACCTCCACATGGATCACAAGCAAACAATTGAGCACAGTAGTTACATTGGGCTTTTAGCACTGACACTTCGACCGTCTCTTTTTTCCATCAATCTCCACCTCTTGCATTTCTTTGACATTGATTTTAGTAACATGATTCCAAACCCAAGATCTTTCCTTTATGCTTTTAAGGTCAACGGGGACAACGGATGCTTTTCTCTTGTTTGTGTTTGATAGCGATTCAGGCCAAGACATAATGTCCTGTGACAAGAAATTTTTCAACATATATTAGCCATGATCTGAGTATCCCAACAAGAAATTTCATTTCTCTTGTTCAACATAAATTTTTCAACATAGAAAATTTTCAACAAGAAATTTTTTAACATAAATTTTTCAACATAGATAAGTCAACACAGAAATTTTTCAACAAAAATTTTTCAATCTGAGTATCCCAAACCAACAATCAACTTGTTTCTAAAGAGTAGTCTAATTGGATAATATTAAATTTGAATACAACATGAAAAAGTGAATATTTCAATAAGAGATGAGATGAGAAGAGAAACATACCAGTACCACAAGAAGGTCGGCTATTCTCTGCTGCCCGATTGGAAAGAATCGCCAATTTCTGTCAGAGATTGGAAAGAATCTGCCTGCGATTGGAGAGAACCGGCAAATCGGCGAAGGAGGCGAATAGGTGAAGGCTGCGAATCGCGTTCAGAATTCAGACTCTCTGTTTTCTCACTTCTGCGGTTCTGCACTTCTGCTTGCGATTGGAATATGGAAGGACCGAAAGAGTTACTAAAATTAATTGGAATAGGCGGGTATACCGTATATTTACTAAAAATATTAAAAATAATATTAGTATTTAAAAAACTGTCCGGTCCGGGTCCCAAACAATTTCAAAATGGGGAATCGGACCGACCCTAAAATCTATAGGAACCGGACCGACCCGGACCGTTTTAAATTTTTGAAAAGACGACCCGGACCTAACTCGGCCCGAACCTAGTGGTTCGATTCCGACTCGCGGTTCCTGGACCCGAATGCCCACCCCAAAGTATACCAAATGGTGTACTCCATTTGTACACCATACATTACTTTTTTTATTTTTTATGTCAACACTTAATTGTGTGGTGGAGATGATTTGGGGTACACTTGAGGAGTTGGGGTACACATTATAGTGTACCCCTAGCATTTTTTATACTTATAATATCGTGCTTCGTACAAACTCGTATATATTTTAAGTAAAATATAATTGTATTAATTTCAAATAATAAATATCTTTTTACTCTAGATATGAGTATACGACATCTTCAAACCTTTATTTTATTATTTTTTTAATACACATTTTGTAAAAGTAAATTAATAAGATTTCATTAATTAATTAAATTAAAACGAAAATAACTCATCAAATAAAAAATTACATCCAATGTCAAAAAGAACATTTAACTCAAAAAATTACATTAATGAAATTTTTTTAAATTATAAGAACATAAATAAAAATCACATTACTTGAAGGACAAAAAAACATAAAAATTACATTACATTATGAAGAAATTACTGTGTATTTGAGTGGCTAAAGAGATGTTTAATCGAATCCGTCGTTAGTGCTCATGAATCTCTCGCTAAAAATTTGTTTCTTTTCTTCATCGATTTCTTCGTAGGTAGGCACCTCCTCGTCCAGGTTGTAATGACAAATTGTAAACTCATTGTCCTCTATAATCATATTATGAAAAATAATATATGCGTGCATGATATTCCTCATTTTCTTTTGAAAATAACACTTGGACGGATGATCTATAATGTGCTACTTACCCTTCAACACTCCGAAGGCTCGTTTGATATCCTTTCTTGCTGCCTCATGAGAGCGACTTGACAATTGTAGAATAATCTGGATATATTTCATTGACAAGATAATATCCACACTTTTAAATCGTCCTCTAAGCTTGAAAGGCAAATTAGGTGCAGTCTCATTAATCCAACCGTCAAATACAGGCGAGTGATCATAAACATTGATGTCGTTGTTCGAGCCCGCATCACCAAAAAAAGCATGCCAAAATCACAAATCATTTGAAGCCACTACTTCGAGCATAATAGTAGGCTTGGGATGATCAACCTGGGGGAACTAACCATGCCACACTGTGAGATACTTTTTCCATTACCAATGCGTGCAATCAATGCTGTCAAGCATGCCGACAAAGGCGTATTTAGCGGCATGCCTCACATGTAACTACTCAATGTCTCTCACTGTCGGGTTACATAAATACCTCTTATGATATAGTCGAATAATAGCTTTAGAAAATTTATAAACACATAACCTTATATTTCGAGCCGACATCTTCAAGTATTCATTGAACATATCATTAGTGGTTCCACATGCCATCAAACAAAGCGCAGAAGTGCACTTTTAAATGCTGGTAAAACCACACCGGCTTCTCGCATCAAACTGTTGGGTGAACCAAGACACCTCGCGTTTAATATCAACGTGTATGCGTAAAAACAAAGAACGACTCATCCAATAATGATTACTAAAATCTTCTGGTGTGCAAATACACGGAGTATTGAAGTAGTCACTAAGCGGTTCTTCGTGCGCAGCCACCCGATCATGCTTCATCTTGTTGTGCTTGTTTCCACCATTGGTAACAACTCGACGAGAAAGAACGAAACATGAAAGGTTTTCTTTCATCGTCAGATGAAAATGATCCCATGTTTTTGGTGGTTTATAGAGAGAATTACGAATATAAAATATTTTTTGGATGAGTTATACCGAGAATGAGAATATGTTGTGTGTGCATATTTTTAAAAAAATAAGGGAGTATTTACAGTTGAAGATTTAAAAATTAAATTTGCCAACGATCTAAATGTGGACTGTTGGGGGGACGGTCTTTATGCGCGCTATGATTTTCTTATGGGTCATGCTAGGGGTACTGTTAAATATATCAAGTATATATTTAGTATATTTTGTATATAGTAGTTTCCATGTATTGTAGAGTCCTTATTTATTATAGTTTCCTAACACAATAGGTTTCCTAACATAACTAAGGAAACCTCTACTATATATACTCCCTTGTATTCACACATTACATCATTGGATTATATCAATTCTTCATGGTATCGGAGCCAAACTAAATCTCTCACGGCTCTCTCTCCTTGTTCTCGGCTCTTTCTCTCCCTCTCGGCAGTGCCTCCTCCCTCTACCGTATGTCTCTCTCTCTCTCTCGGCTTTCTCTCTCAAATCACAAAAACCACCATGGCCGAGGTCTCCTCCGTCTCCTCCCATAATACCAACACCCCTAAATCACCCCACCTTGCCTTTACAACAATCTCAAACATCAAGCTCCATATTCCCGTCCAACTTAGCATCTCGGAGCCAAACTACAAAAAATGGAGCCGACTCTTTCGCCTCCTAGTTCTCCACTTCAATCTCATGGGATACCTTGACGGGACCACCATCGCCAAATCGGCCGATGATGCAGAATGGTATCAATTCGACGCTCTACTTCAAGGATGGATCTTGTCTACCGTCTCCGATGAGGTCTCCGATCTCGTTCTTGCAAACAGCCCCACTGCCTCTGCTCTATGGAAAGCCATCTACAAATTGTTCCATGATAACAAGCATGCCCGGGCGATGCAACTGGAGCACCGTTTCCGCACCACCGTCAAAGAGACGAAGACAATCAATGAATATTGTCATACTCTCAAAAACCTCACCGACTACCTTGACGACGTCGACGCTCCGGTGACCGAGCACGCCCTGGTCCTACAAGTTCTTCAAGGTTTTCCGCACGACATTCGGGGACAGGTCCATTTTTTGCAGTATCAAAATCCGTTCCCGACGTTCTTGGAAGTCCGCTCGGCCCTCCTCCTAGTCGAACAACAGCAGGCCGAAGCCCTCCCCAGCGCCGGCCCGTCAACCACCCTCCTCAGCTTCAGCGGCGGCGGCTGTTCCACGATGGGCGGCAATCAGTCGCGGCAGGGCAGCAACTCCGGACGCGGTAGTTTCGGCGGCTCCAATTGGGGAAACTCTGGCGGCTATCGAGGGCGTGGCCGTGGACGTGGACGTGGCTGCCCGAACCAGCGACAACTCGGCAGCCCGAGTACCTGGCAGTTCCCTACCCCCTCCCCTGGTCTACTTGGCCCACGGCCTCACTCACCATACCCAGCCCAGGCCCATGTGGCCCACTACCCAAACCCTCCCC